AGTCATCAGGAAAATACAAATTGAGACACTATTTCACACCAACTAGAATGACTCCACTCCTACCCAAAAAACAAGTTTACAAAACAAAATGTTGGCAAAGATGTGGAACAATTAGAACTCATATTCCTACAAGTAGCATATAAAATGATTCAACCACCTTGGAAAATCATTCCTCATAAAGTTAAACTATATCTAACCCTATGATCCAGCGACCTTCATTCCTAGGTATTTAAATAAAGGAAATGAAGACATATGTCCACAAAAAGACTTGTAGAAGAATATTCACAGCAGTTTCATTCATAAAAACCAAAAACTACACATCACCCAAATACCCATCAACAGTTGTATGGGTCAATATATCATGATATTTTCATACAGTGTAATACTAAGTAATAAAAAGAAACATACTACTGACATACTTAACATGAATCTATCTCAAAAACAATATTCTGAGAAGAAAACAAAGCCCAAGAACAAGTAAAACAAATCTATGGCATTAGAAATCAGAAAATGACTAAAAGGGAACCTCAGTGTGCTGTGGGGGTGAATGTAAATTGGTGCAGCTACTATGGAAAAGAGTATGGAGGTTCCTCAAAAAATTTAAAACAGAACTACCACATGATCCAGCGTTTGCACTTCTGTGTATTCATCCGAAGAAAATGAAAACACTAACTCAAAAAGATATCTGTACCCCCATGTTCGTTATAGCATTATTTATAATAGCTAAACATAGAAATAATTGAAGCTTCATCCACTGATGGATGAATGGAGAAAATGTATTATATATATATAATTAAATATTATTCAGCCATAAAAACAAAGGAAATCTTGTAACAACATGGATGGACCTTGAGGGCATTATGCTAAGTGAAATAAGTCATACAGAGAAAACAAATACTATATGATCTTATTTATATGTGGAATCTAAAAAAAAAAAAAAAAAACAACAAGTTCATAGATACAGATAACAGATCGGTGATTGCCAGAGGTGGGGGGTGAGAGAAATGGGTGACGGGGGTCAAAACGTACAAACTTCCAGTTATAAGATAAATAAGTCCTGATGATATAATATACAGCATGATGACTAGTTAATACTACTGTATTTGCATATTTTAAAGTTCTAAGAGAGTGGATCTTAACTCACAAGAAATTCTATTCAAAACACACTACGGAGTGAAAAAGCAAACCCCAAGAGAAGCAGAATATATTTGCATTACATAGAATGGACAGTGTGCATGTAGCCAGAATATTGAGACTCCTATACATTGACAAGAAAAAGTCTGGTAGAAAGATGGGTAAGAGATTTGAAAATATATTTCATAAAAGAGAAAACACAGGGGCGCCTGGGTGGCTCAGTTGGTTAAGCATCTGCCTTCAGCTCAGGTCGTGATCCCAGGATCCTGGCTGGGATCGAGTCCCACACTGGGCTCCCTACTCAGCGGGGAGCCTGCTCCTCTCTCTCCTTCTAACTCTCCACCCGACTTGTGCTCTCTCTCTCTCTCAAATGAATAAATAAAATCTTTTTTTTAAAAAGAGAGAATACACAAATGGCTAACAAATACACGAAAAGTTCAACCACATTAGCTATCAGTGAAGAGCAAATTAAAACTACAAAGTGAAATACCACTACGAGCAGAGTATAATGACTTAACTTTAAAAAACTGACAATATCAAGTATTAGTAAGTATGTGAAGAAAGTAGAACTCCCACCCGCTGTTGAAAGGAATCTAAGGTGGCAGACCTACTTTGGAAAAGTCTTTAGTGATATCTGCTATAACTGAATGTTCCACTCACAGGTATTCATCCAACAGATAGATATACCAAAGATATGAAATAGCCCCAAACTGGACATAACTTAAATATCCATCAACAGAAGAGCTAAAATACTATGTATTCAAACAATGGAATTTTATCCAGCAATAAAAATGAACACACTACTTTTACACATAACAATAAAATAATGCTGACTGAGAGAAGCCAGACATACATACTGATTCCATTTGTGTAAGGTTACAATCAGGCAAAACTCATCTGTAATGTTGGAAGTAAGCGTAATGGTCACACAGGCAGAAGAACTGGGTAGTGAATGGAAGGAGTACAAGGGAGGCTTCTGGATGCTGCTAATTGTTCTATTTCCTGATTTGCAATGTGGTTACAGGGGTATGTTCACTTAGTGAAAATTGACTGAGCCAACCTCTCAAGCCACCCACTCCAGCTCATTGTATTCTACCCACACTAGCCTTCTTTCTGGGCTTCAGAAATGGTGCACGTTCCCATCTCGGGACCTCCGCGTGCCTGCTACCCAGGACACAATTCAGACCACCAGCACAGATTCCTTCCACCCTCGAGGTTCTGACTCTCTTTCAAGAAGCCCTCCTTGGCCAAAGTGCTCTCCCATCCCCTGTAATCACCCCCCTCCCCTACTGCTAGTCTCCACTGTTCATACTGCTGTCAGAAATGATCTCGTCTATAAACTTACACGCTTGTTCATTGTCTGCTCCTTCCACTAGAGATATTACACCTGTGAGTAAAGCACCGTGTCTGGCATGTTCCCTGCTGCCACCCCAGGCCCAGGAGCACGGCCTGACAGAGAGTGCACATCTAATAAATCTCTGTCAGATGAATGAATGTCACAAATGCACTAAGCAATGTCTTCTGCTACGGGGTACATTTTTCTTTCCTTGGAAAGGAAAAAAAAACAAGAGGAGAAGAGAACAAGGGAGAAGCATACACAGTCAAGTAAAGCACAATAGAACCTCTGGTACCACTCAAAGCATAAAGCAGATTAAACCCCTACCTTGGTGGAGGTGATCTAATAAAGCCTAGGAAATGATGCAGGCATTTTCCCAATGCTAGCTCCATGAGAAATACTGCAAAACATGGAAGGTCTAGTGCCTCAAAGACTGCCTTCAGGAAGGTTCTGACCTAAGCATTAATGACTTATTCTAGGCCTGATCTTAATTGAATAACTTCAATTAATGACTGATTTTAATGCTTCAGTTATGCAAGGAAGTCATTTCTGCACCTCAGTTCTTACAGAAAAATACTTAGAAAACTATAATATGGGGCGCCTGGGTGGCTCAGTTGGTTAAGCAACTGCCTTCGGCTCAGGTCATGATCCTGGAGTCCCGGGATCGAGTCCCGCGTCGGGCTCCCTGCTCAGCGGGGAGTCTGCTTCTCCCGCTGACCCTCTTCCCTCTCATGTGCTCTCTATCTCTCATTCTCTCTCTCTCTCAAATAAATAAATAAAATCTTTAAAAAAAAAAAAAAAAAAAAAAAAAAAGAAAACTATAATATGGACTCACACCAAAGGAAATATCCTGAGTTTCCTAGCTGAAATGAAATGGAAAAAAAAAACCAAACACCTTTTTTCAGTGTAGAGTGCCTTTTTGCCTCATAACCTAATTTCTTCTGTTAAAAAATTTTGAGATGTGGCAGAGAGAAGAGGCATAGTAGGGAGGGAGGTAGGGGGCATGTACAGGCATGAGGTGGGAGGGTTGTGGTATTGGACACCCCGAGAGAACACGAGGTACAATTCTCAGCTACATCCCCTCACTCTGGGAGCCACACCTAGCAGAGTGCTGGGAGCAAGGTGAGTATTCAGTAGGTACCTAATGAATGCACATTCTTCCCAACAACGGTTTTAAGAGATTGATGGATCTTCTTAAAGAAGCAGGTTTAGTAGCGTCTTGGTTTCTGTTTCCTAATCCTAATTTACTTAACTTTAGAGAGCAGTTAGTACAACAAGCCCCTGGCAGATATACAGCACCAAGCTCCAGGCTCTAGGCACTCATAAAGCAGAGGAAACACTCACTGAGAATCTGATAAAGAATAAATCTCTATAATAATAGAATTACTTTATTTGTATCTCATAGGCCAACCCTAGGAACCTCTGCCTTCTTAATGATCCCGTTCTTGGTATTTTTTCTTGTGTATTCATTACACTTCTATTTCATTCTTTGAAGCAAAGATATAAATTCACATTTCCAGCACTGTGTTCTTATCTCCTCCCCCCTCCCACAACCCCTGGGGCCGGCAGCTGAAGTAGTTCCTCAGCTTCTGAGGATTCTTCAAATCCTTTTAACCATTTCAGATGCTTATGACTTACTTAGAGCATCTTTTCTGTGAAAGTCACAATCATTTGTTTCTCACCCAATAGAAAGAGACTTAAACGGGAAAAGAAATTAATTATATAAAAAAGAATGCTATTCAAGATACAGCTATCACAGCATAAAAAGAAAAAAGTAAAATTTCTTAATAAGATATCATTGGTAATATTTTAGAGCTGGACCTAAACCAGCTAATGTTAATTTCATCTCCTCATTTTATTAATGGATAAATCAGTGGTAATTTCTAAAATTTTGAAAGGATTGTTCTTTTAGGAGTTAAATCTCTCCACCTTATGGGCTGGGGTTTGACAAATAGTTCATGCATATGCAAATGAATGGAATGAATGAATGAATGAATGAATTTATAAGTATTCTTCCAAATAATGGTCATAAAACCATTTAGTGGCATGGCCAGGACTAAAACCCAGTTCTCTTTTTTCTTCCTTGGTAACTCGTAAGTTGCAGCTACTTTAGCAGTTTAGTTCATTGTCAGGAAAGCAGCAATGTCACCCAAATCACTGACGGACCTTAGTTGTGGTTTTTTTCATTCTGCTTTTAGACACGCAAACAAAAGAAAAGAATGAAAAGTGTCAAGTAGGATGACATAAGAAAATTGCACTGTAGCCAGATCACACATAGAAAATGACAGAAAAAAGGTAGGCAGAGATGGCTCTGTGATTTTCTTCTCTCACCTGATCTGAGAGATAAAAAAGGTACAAAGTTAGAATGCATTAGCTGTCAAATCAACAATATTCCATTAGAGGCACAGACTTCTCTCACAGTGCAGCCATTTTATGAGCACAGGCTTGACACAGTCCACAGCCAGGAGAACACGAGGTAGAAATGATCAGAACCAAGGACATAATATGGTAACGGAGGCCATATACTTACTCTTCCAGGAAGTGCTGCTGGGGTCCTATAATGGAGCCTGGCCGGCATATTCTGATCCAAGCAATTATTTCAGCGTGTGTAAACCTGTAGTGTTTCATGACATAACAGGCTATCAATGTCCCTGTTCTTCCAAGACCAGCTGCAAGAAAAGGAAACAGACCAAGAAAGACAAAATATAGCAAAGGTACCCACAAAAATCCCGAAATCAAACCCTGCCCAGAAACTGCAATGGTTTCAAGTATAATGCAAGTGTTGTAAACCCAGACAATAACGTAATGCTTTTCTACATGATGTGGGGTTAAAAGATAATTCTAACTCAAGAAATCTTCTAAAAATAGATCATAGAATTAAAATAAGCCTATGTAAGAACATATACAAATCAGAGCAAAGGTCTTGAAAAACGATCAAGTTCAACCCCCAGGGGCCTTTGGGAATGGCCATCATTGTGGATATTGTTAAAGCAATGGGGTTTCCATGACAAGCACTTACAAAATATCACCTGTCAGGTGTCTTCACCCTCCCCACCCTGGACCCCAGCCCAGGCTGAGATGAATCTATAGTTAATAGTTTGTCTGTGTGACCTCTGAGTCAGCCATGTAACTGATTATATTATCATGGCCCACTTATATCTTGTTTAAATGATTAGGGTGGCTTTTTTTTTTAACTTATTGCAGAATAAGGAATCATAGAATCAAAGTTGGAAGACACCATAGATGTCACCAAGCCTCATCAACTCCCTAGCCCACAACTGTTTCAAAACTACCTTTATCAGATGGTCGTCTGACCTCCCTGCCACTCCATCAGACCCCAGGATTTCATGATTTCCTCAGTCAGTAGGTATGGATGGAGCACCTACGACCTGCCAGGTACTGTGCTAGGAGCTGGGGGCACAGTGACAAATAAAAGAGATATGGTCCCTGCCCTTGGGAGAGTACACAGTCCACTGAGGAACAACAAAGCAAACAGAAGTGCTCAAATTTCATTTCCCCAGGCTCCTTCATTTTCTAAGAACTTTGGTGTTAGCTTATGTTCTTTATGTTGAATGCACTCTCTGTTACATAAGATTAAGTAATACAGTTAGAAATGACTTTCAAAAAAATGACTTTCAGTGAAATACTGGTTATTGTGGTGAGCTCTGATTTCTTCAAAGTGTTTTTAACAATTGCTGTATTTTTTCCCTCTCTCCAAATAAATAATAGTGATAGGACTTGATTTGCATTTTAGCCAATCTTTTTGAAAAAATACACACTGATTTCCTCCTTTTGCAAAAATATTCAAAAACTTTATATCAAGCCACAGGTTCTTAATAGTGGTGGTTGTTCACATACCAGAACGACGGAGGCCCAAAGATACCAACCAACCGACTCATATAACAAGTGAGTATGGAATTCAGGACTAAAATTCCTCCATCGTCCTGATTCTCATCCCAGAATTCTTTCCACTCTTGGCTCGCATCCTGTCACTCATCTTACAGGTACTGATTGAGACCAACTGTGTACAAGCCACCGTGAAAGATCTGAAAACAGAAATATGAAGACAAGCAGGATGCCTGCCCTCAAGAAGTATATAGGACTGAACCAATAATGCTCATTTACAAGCATTTTCTAAATCTTTCCATATCTGGCTTCTTGGTGTTAGATTCAGTACTATAAATTTTTATTTACGTACCACCCATGAGCAAAGCAGTATGCAGTTATTTTTCCACTACTTAAAATCTGTTTGTATCATATACACTTTTTTTTTTTAAGATTTTATTTATTTATTTGTCAGAGGGGGAGTGCGCGAACACAACTAGGGGGAGCGGCAGGCAGAGGGAGAAGCAGGCTCCCTGCTGAGCAAGGAGCCAATACAGGACTCGATCCCAGGACCCTGGGATCATGACCTGAGCCAAAAGCAGACGCTAACGCACTGAGCCACTCAGATGTCCCTACACTTTTTCTTATAGAAGAATAAAGTGGCTCTGGGGTGCCTGGGTGGCTCAGTCAATTGAGCATCCGGCTCAGGTTATGATCTCATGGGTCATGAGATTGAGCCCCATGTCGGGCTCCATGCTCAGCGGGGAGTCTGCTTGAAGAGTCTCTCCCTCTGCCCCTCTGCCCACTTGCACTCACACACTCTCTCTCCCTCAAAAAAATAAATCTTTAAAAAAGAAAAGAAAAAAAAAGTAGCTCTGTCTTTAGACATTAAATTCAGCTAGTCAAATGCTTATTCAAGATTCTCAGGACAGGGTTCTGCTCATAGGATAAGGATATAAGCAAGTATAGGATATAATTTTTTACCATGATGAGTATCAGAGCAGTTGCAGAATATCAAGCCGGAAACAATAACAAAGAAATGGGAAAGATAACAACAACAAAGAAACTGGGCTCTCAGACAAAGTGGGGGACGCTGTGTGAGCCTCTGGTGTCTTCAAAGAATGTGTCATTGCTAACACGGACTTTAGCAGACTCTAAAGAATAGGAAGGTCACAGAATATTTTCAGCAAAGGGTGTGATGAATGAAAGCTTGGCTGAAGAATGTGTCAGTGTGTGTCGAGTGCAGAATAAGGTCGGATGGGCAGAAAAGGCCAGAAAATAGAGCACCTCTGAGTCAAGTGGAAGGGCCCAAGCTTAGGTGAAATAGATTCCAAGTTGTGGGCCAAAAACATAAAGGACCGCTGAGTTATCATTAGGAGTCTCCAGAACCAGGTCCACCGTGCTCTGAGTACCGGTTAAGTCACATCTCCTGGGTGTATGTATTATTATTACTCCTCAAATACATGTAGATGATGCTTTGATGAACAAAATTCAAGTCATTTTAAAAGTATTACAGAATTCGTGATATTATCAATAGCTAATAAACATACAACTGCTATTATGTAAAAAAAATCTGTATTTTTTCCTTCAACCAATGTAAAGGGCAAAATAAAGTTGCCATGTATTTGGGGGCAAGAAAGTACTGTGATAAAAGGAGATGCTCAGGAAGCAGCACACAGACAATGTTGGAAAGTACAGAGTGGGGAGCCAGGGAACAGCTAGGAGGCTGGGGCAGGAGGGTGAGGTGGGCAGGAGGGCGAGGTGGCCGGGAGGGGCACAGATGGGGCTGGATGGACCTTGATGATAAAAAGGAGGAGCTGAATTAGAAAGACATTTGGACTGGGTCACAGGGAAAGTCAAAGATGACTGGTATTTCTGGCCTGGAAAACTGGTCCAAGGTCAATTTCATCCGTGAAAACATTCAGTTAGAAAAGGAAACGGGAAAGTTGACAGCTTTGTTTTTAATATGCTTAAGCATCTTCCCCCCCCCCCCCCCCGGGCGCCTGGGGGGCTTCAGTGTTGAAGTGTTTCCCTCCACCCCAGGTCTTAACCCCAGGGGCCTGGCACCAACCCCCCCCCCCCCCCCCCGTCAGGCTCCCTGCTCTGTGGGAAGCCTGCTTCTCCCTCTCCCACTCCCCCAGCTTGTGTTCCCTCTCTCACTGTCTCTCTCTCGTTCTGTCAAATAAATAAATAAATAATCTTAAAAAAAAAAAAAGAATATTTTCCCCCAAAAGAGGAGCCCTTTTGTAAGCTTTGCTGGTCAAATAATAAAGAGTATCTTCTCTAATCTCTCCAGTACTTCGAAATACACAGTGTCTCCCCAAATCTAAGATACCATCAAGTCGCCTAACAGTGTGATATGCACCATTATTTAAATTCCACCTAAGTAAGAAAAAATTAAACTATGACATGCTACCCATTTTCAGATCCATCCTAGTTCCATAAATGTGAAAGTGTGAAAAAGCGGTCTCTAAATCAGTGTTTCTCAATCATTTTTCCTTATCGCCTCCTCTAAGAGCCTCTTTAAGACATTTTTCCTGATTGTCTCCTATGAAATGTTACTGCCACAGTATACTGCATATCTCTATGTACAGTACGTAAATCTGTGCTTTACACAGAAAAAGAATGGTTCCTCCCCACCCCACCCCCTGCAAAAAAAAAAAAAAAAAAATTTCTCCCTCCTTGGAGGCAATAAAGGCAGGTTGAAAATACACATCAAAATGCAAATGAGGGGCACCTGGCAGGCTCAGTTGGAGGAACATGTGACTCTTGATGTCGGGATTATGAGTTTGATCCCCACACTGGTGTAGAGATTACTTAAAAATACAACCTTTATTAAAAAATGCAAATAAAATTACAATCAAGCTCATGTTTACAGATGCTTGACATTCCCTTCCCATTAAGCCTTCCTTTTTAAAAATTATCTTTACAATGTTTTATTAGATGAGTGTGTGTGTGTGTGTGTGTGTGTGTGTGTGTGTGTGTGTAGCCTGTTTCCATCTGAAGTACATTTTGCCCCAGATCAAACATCAACATTCTTTAGAAAAGAGTAAAATTTCATTGTGGTCTCAGTGGGGCTCTTCCTTTAACATTAGAGTGAAGGCAATTTGCCTTTCTGTTTCTGTCCAGAGCAGATACTCTTTGCCTCTGCAGCATTGTGAACTCTCAGACATCTGACAAGACTATAGGTAATCCTGTGGATAAAACACAGCGGAAACAGCCTGCTGTAGGAACCTCAGCAGGAACCTGCAATGAGCAAAGACTTTCTGGGGTCCCTCCTTGGAGTCTCCTCTCTGGAGAGGAGATGGTCTTTCTAGAGGCAGCCCTACCTCTCACTGCTCCCCTCCCTGTGCAAAGAAGGGGCTGTCCCATTCCCTAGGCTAGGCTCCTAGTCACACACACTCACAACCAAAAAAGGTGATGCAGAAAATTTTCAAATTTCTCTGAAACTAAAGTTGCTTCCCCTTTTAAAAAGAGTCTATAATTTAGATCTATAAAAAGAACGTACTTAGCACTCAATAGTTAGGAGCTCTTACCACAATTCAACAGAATAGGAACATTTCACTAAGTTTCTATAAAAACTTTAACAAATTTCTTAAAGCATTCATAATTAAAGGGCTCCCTGACACAGCAAGACAAGACGTTGAAAAGTACTCTATTTATACCAAGTTAAATGCTGATTCCCTTGTAGTTCCGGGCATTTTCTGAAATCCTACAGAATATCAACAATCACATACCAGAACATCACAGTGTTCCCATTTTTTTAAATTATTATTTGTGCTAGAAATTTTCAAAAACAAATCATAGTCATCTCTTTTATCAACCAGAAGGTGAACTATAGACACTGGATCATTGGTAAGATTTCACACATTCCCAGCAAATCAATTTCTAGTTTGTCTCTCTATCTAGCACTTTATGTTGAGGCACGACATCTTCATTCCCTTTCCAGCAGCTACTGAAGTTCATGTGACATAGGATAAGGTTCTCTCTCCCTCCTCCTTGTACTTCAGTTAAAATGCTCAGTGATGCTTCAATTCCCAGAAAATTAAACTGACTTAATTAGGGCAGATGTCAAAATAATTAACAGGCCTCTAGTAGATAAGTATGCTATTAAAAGCAATACAGCTGTAATTAAACGGAAGGTGTAATCTTTATAAAGGAGTCCTACATGTGTGTACAAGTGGAAGCAAATGAAATAACATTATCCAAAAGATGTCACCACATGTGAATGTGAGCTTCCCATACAAGAACTCACCTCAGTGCTAATGGTTCTGATTTTAAATAAAAATATATAAACCTCTGCAGTATAAAATACATACACACACAACTCATACACCCATATTGTATTTTTTTAAATGTTAACATTCACAAATCTAGGATATAATACAGAGAATACCTGTAATAAGAATGTTGAACATCAGACAGTTTCATTTTTATAATTTCAGTTAGGTGAGAAATGCTATCAAGAGAGATACAGATACCCAAAAGAAAATGAAAACACTAATTCAAAAAGATATACGTACCCCTGTTTATTGCAGCATTATTTACAATAGCCAAGATATGGAAGCAACCTAAGTGTCCACCAATAGATGAATGAATAAGGAAGCATATATATATATATATATATATATATATATATATAGAGAGAGAGAGAGAGAGAGAGATGTATATATAATGTAATATTACTCATCCATAAAAAAGAATGAGATTTTGCCATTTGCAACAACATGGATGGACCTAGAAGGTATTATGCTAAGTGAAATATGTCAGATGGAAAGACAAATAACATACAATTTCACTTATATGTGGAATCTAAAAAAACAAAAAGAAAGAAAGAAAAGGGGGCGCCTGGGTGGCTCAGTCGTTAAGCGTCTGCCTTCGGCTCAGGTCATGATCTCAGGGTCCTGGGATCGAGCCCCACATCGGGCTTCCTGCTCAGCAGGAAGCCTGCTTCTCCCTCTCCTTCTCCTGCTGCTTCTCTTCCCTCTCTCTCTGTCCAATAAATAAATAAAATCTTTAAAAAAAAAAAAAAAGAAAGAAAGAAAAGGTAGAAACAGACCCATAGATACAGAGAACAAACTGGTAGTTGCCACAGTGGAAGGGAATGAAGGGAGGGACAAAATGGGTGAAGGGGAGTGGGAGGTACAGGCCTCTAGCTTTGGAATGAAAAAATCACAGGAATAAAAGGCACAGCATAGGGAATATAGTCAATGGTATTATAATAGCATCGTATGGTGACAGATGGGAGCTGCGCGTGTAGTGAGCAGAGCATAATGTATAAACTTGTCCCATCACTATGTTGTACACTTGAAACTAATATAACATTGTGAATCAACTATACTTCTGTTAAAAAGAGAAAGATACTGAGTTTTAATGACAGTTTTGCATTTCTTCTTCCATGAATTTGTCAATCCAACATATGACACACAGATAAGCTCTATGACTTGGTAACCATAAAATTAATCGACTAGGAAATAAGGCCAAATTAAGCGGAGGAAAAATATTAATTTTTGTGACACAAAAATAAACTTTGAAAAAGAGCACACAAACATCTCCTACTAAAGGTTGGTAGCTGCTATAGTCCCACTAGCTCTCAAGGTCCACTGATATTTGAAATGTGCGAAATGCTGGCTTTTTCTCGGGCCTGGGCAATCTTTAACAAAATGAGCTGGAAAGGCAAAGTCAGAGCGTAAATGAACCCCATCCAGGGCAAGCCAGCTCCCCACCAGTCCACTGTGACCTGATGAGAACTGAAAGCGCTCTCTGGATGAGAGAACAAGACACCTTCCTAGCCCGATACCCCGCCCCAACATACCCCACCACACACACACACACACCTTGGAGGGCTAGGGCATGCGCGCGCACACACACACACACACACACACACACACACCCCTTGGAGGGCTAGGGCGTCCTGCACGCCAGGGCCCTTGGAGGGCTAGGGCACACACACACACACACACACACACACGCCAGGGCCCTTGGAGGGCTAGGGCA